CCAGGGGCTCAAGGAAGAGCTGGAGAGAGCCTGGAAAGTAAAGGCATCAGTGGTGCCTGTGGTGATCAGAGCACTCGGAGCTGTAACCCCCAAACTGGAAAAGTGGCTTCAACAGATACCGGGGAAAACAATGGACATCTCAGTCCAGAAAAGTGCAGTACTGGGAACAGCAAAGATACTGCGCAGAACTCTCAAGCTCCCAGGCCTCTGGTAGAGGACCCGAGCTGAATGAGGGTGAGAGAGACCTACCACCGTGGAAGGTGAGAAACACATTATATGTACCTAGCTGGAGGGATTTAACTAGGGATACACCAATCCTGTTATTCGTAATTTAAAGTAACTCCAACCAATCTTGGTAAGATTTTGGACCAACACTGACCATTAAATCATCATTGTCTAGACCAAAATGGGACATCAATTGAATTGATATCATGGAACTGATATCTGATCCACCGAAATGTTCAATATTGGTGCTGATATCTGATACCAGTACTGTATCAATGCCTCTCTAGATTCACCTTCCCACCAACAAAGAGAGGTGATGTACAGACCAATGCAAAAGATTGAGACCAGTGTTCAAACCTCACCAGATCATTGCCGTGTTAACTTTATTTTCCCACTTCTGTTTCTGTTCCTCTTTCCTCCACCTCACCACAAACACATCAATAAAACATTTTGCTTGCAGACAAAATACATAACAAAAAGCCCCGCGTGAGCCTCTGGATGTGAATAAAACAACTCCTGCATGACACTGTTCCAAAACCGCTTTCACATTAATATTAACTCACAAAACATCACTACCGAACCAGGAATTTACAGCTAGAATCCCACAATCTACTCTCTTTCATCTCAACTTTGACCTTAGCCATTCATATTTTGGTCAGTTTTGCAGCTCAATACCTCTCATTCACACTGCCAACGTTCTGCTAGATCCCAATGAATAAAACATGAGAATTTTGGCCTTAATGTATGCTGTCAGAAAAGTTGCCTACAGTTTCTCGGTTAGATAACTTTTCGGTCCGTGGAGGTTTAATTATATTTCCAGTTTTGTTTCCAAGGCCCTGTTCACATTGGTGAGCTGCATATATGAACACACACTTGGCGATTGAAGTCCTATATGTGGATGGGTTCATATTATTAAACTCAATTTTTGGACATCTACTGCTTGGTTTAGATTTTAGGAGGGTTTGGTGAAAGAACTAGCAAAAGACAATGGCAATCAAAGGTCCTATATTACACAAAATCAACTCTTATGAGCATTAAGCCAAGTTAGAACATTGTTACTTCATCAGAAAACATACCTGGATTTGTCCTTGGGTAATTATTTTGTCGTATGGCTAAAGTTCAAAATACTCTAATGTCGATTACTGGTAGTTTTTAAGTTAACTTTAACCTTTAGTTCAGTAGATATTGGCAATTCCAGAGCTGAAATTATCCAAATATTTCCAGTGAATGCGTGTGAAATTTAAAAACACTTGGCAGCACTTACTGTATTACTAGGGATGCAACGATATCCAAATCTCACAGTACGATATTATCATGATATTTGCGATATTACGGAGTGATTAATATAATTGTAGACAGGATACTTTGCATTTAAAATACCTTGACAAGACTTAAGTGTGAAGCATTACTGTCATAATCCCAAGAATTAAACTAAAAAAAAACAGATTTCTTCATGTTGTCTGCACTGAAATGAATCATGGGATATGTAGCTCCATATGTTTTTAGCTGTTGCTACTATAAAACAATGCACTTAACCAAAGAAACTTTGGTTAAACTCTCTCTCTCTCTCTCTCTCTCTCTCTCACATCCCTATGTATTAATACATAACATGGAGTGTTTTCAGTTTGAGAGCTCAGCCTAAATATGCAGGGTTTGTATGTTAAATATGTGTGAATGAAACAAACACAACTCCAGGTTTGTTTGCGATGAGGAAACATTAAAACACAGGTCAGAAAAAAACCTATATTACTCCAGTGTTAAAGCTATGAGGACTTCCAGTAGGGCTTAACAACATGTAACAAAAAATTGTCAAACAGATTTTTCAATTTGCACTATAGTAATAGGTTTCACATTTTGAACACATCCAGAATTGGCAAAAAGACTGGGATAGAAAGCAATATAAGGGTCACATTTCAGAACATGTTTCTACAGATCTAAAATGCAGAACTAGACAGAATATGTTGTTGTTTGTGTAGAAAACTGAAGCATTTGTCATTTTCAAATTGTGCCCATTCAAACTGCTGTTTTGATTCTATTGCAATTTATCTCACAGCCCTGCTATTAAAATGTTAAAAAGGGCTAAAATAATCCAAATGAACTCCCTACATATTCTATTGAAGGTGGATGGAGTTTAAAAACATAGTGGAGCACTTCCTGTATTACCACATGACATTACAAGGTAGAACAGAGTGTTTTCTGTTCAAAAGAAGACCTCAGCCTAAATATGGAGGGTTTGTGTGTTAAACATGAATTAAACAAAACACAAGTCCATGTATGTTTGTGATGAGGAAACAACATTATTAGCCTGATTCATCAGCCGGGTTTTACTTTGTAGAAACTGTCTGACCTTGCAGCTTTAGAATTTGTTGGCTCGACTGTAGACGGGTACTTTTTAAATTTAACCAATCGCTGCTATTTGGTCGTGACTTATGTAATGCGCCACTAACAGGGCTGTTAAGCTTTTCCCAAATCCCATAGGGAAAAAGGCCAATAACGTATTTCCCCTTGATAAAATTCACAGAATATTGTCTTTATTCCAGTTTTAAATCCTCAGTCTTGGGAATCATTGCCAACACACAATGTCTGGCTTTTCGCTGATTGGCTGGTACCCGAACTTGTCCGGGGTTTTTACAAATTGTCTAGTGTATTCTGATTACTGACCTAGTTGCTGGAGAGAAATGAAACTGAGTGGAGGCACTAGGTGGCACCAGCCTGGCGACAGCATTATAACATAGATCAAAAAATAGCATAATATGGGCCTTTTAACACGTTGGATTGAAGAGTTGGATTTAACCAGCTCTAAACCACCTCTCTACAACAGACCACCAAATATCCCCTCTTTATCCCTGCCTAGTCTTTTGTACTTGTTATGTATGTGTTCTTCCTCTGTAGCTCCCCAGTCGCTCTGACATATTGGGCTCAGCTGCTCATTGTCACCACGGCACTGTGTTGTGAGCGAGCTACTGTTACATACCACTGTGCGCTCTTCCTGTCTCTACATGTGCTTCAATTAATAAGATCATTGTGGCTTGTTCTATGGATTAGGCTGAAATCCTGCTAATCTTCACACCTCGGGGGGCTTTCTGCATCGGCTAATAGAGACCCCAATAAACAAAGAGCTAATTGAATACATAAGGAGCAGTGGATGCGCGGTTAGGGTGTTTGCGATCAGTAAAATAATAAGTAGGATTTAGATATAATCGCTGTAATGACTTGAATGCGATAAAAGACTTAGGCACAGGCAGAATCAGAGGCAGTGGACACCTGTTAATCTGAGCTCCGAGATACAACTCTCCTTCAAACTCAGAAAAGGTGACAGTGAGTGAGCCAGTGAGTTATGGTTTTATGATGATATCTTGTTTTCTATATTCCTGTAGTATTCAACTGAAATAAAGAGTCTGTTGCAGACGTAGTATATAAAATCTACTTTTTAGAACTTTAAACATGTTATAGCCGTTTCCTTTTCTCATTTTTCCTCTGGAAGTTGTACTGGAGTGATTCGTGCATGTTTGAGCAGTCTTTAATTACTTATTTTCAGGATGCCATATTGCAGATCAATCCCCATTTTCTTTGCCACCAACATACGCCCACTGCTTTGTACCACCATTTTATTTTCTCGATTTGGGATATGTGCAGGATTCGGCAGCATCGCATAACCATTTTGGTTCAAATGAAAAATCTGCTGCTCGCTAGTCCAAAGGAGATGCCAACTCTTGTGTGATTCCATTTACAGTGACGTCAGCTCCCGTTGGACACCACAGTTTTCTTAGTCAGCAGACTTGTTTCTTTTATTAAGTTGTTTTAGATTAATATTGCGGCATAATGATCCGTCAGCATCATAATTATATACAGGCTCAAGCACAATATGTCTGGTTTAAAAAAGAAGATGTATTAAAGGTGCATTATGCACATTTTCTAGAGGAGGGTTCATCGCCTTCTTGTCTCTGAGGAGATGTTACTTATTTGCCTGGAATATTATGGCAATATGTACAAACTATGGCACATTCTCACACCTGGCAAAACAGTGGCACCTTTCAAACCAAACCTGCACCCATAATGTTGATTGAGGAGTGTCTAGAGAGAATGTGATGTTCTGGAGTGAATAAACTGAATGTTTTTGATAAGGATAATGATTTTACAGTGTTGAGAGAACTGGGTGTGAATGATGATACAGAATTGTTATGATAATCCTGACATTATAAAGACATTCTCTTTGTATGTTTGTTTTTATGATCTATAACATCAACTTGTCCAGATACGACAGGTGGAAATTAGCACTGCCGCTACAACCTGGTACAATGCATCTCTCCATGTTAATGGTTAATGTATAGTGTGCACTGTCCCTGTCTCATTAAATAAATAAACAAAACGTAAACTAAAAAGTATGAGTACAGCAAGGCAAGTTACAAGCAAGACCTGTGGAGAGGCAAGCCCATTCACCATTAGACTGCATGTTTTTCAAGTTATTTTTGAGCAATAAAAGCACTTGAAATTGAATAAATGCAAGATAGGCCTGTTTTGATCCTTGTTTTTCCAAGAGCCCCCTCTACCTGTTTCACTGATTGGAACACCTGCAGCAAACAGCATTTGTTTCTTTGTTCCCCGTATGATTAAAATATAATTTTGAATAAGCAGCGAGACAAACATGTTTAAAGGTTGAGCATAATATGTCTTCTGATGATGGTGTGGGTAAAATAAACTTATTTTTAGTTTTTTCTGGGTGTCCACACTGTGGATAACCAGGCTATGTGTATACAGTGTGTTTAATGAGTTACCTTGAATGAGATCTCGTACTGCTCTCCTCCCCAGATCTCCAGACCGGTGTCGTATCCTCCCAGCTCCCAGAACCACTTCCTGTCCACAGCAAACAGCCCTCCAGCCATCACCGGAGACCTACACACAGGTAGACAATCAATCCCAATCAATTAAGCAAGTGCATAAAATGGTTCCTATAACAGTCAATCGATACTGTAGGCAAGGAACAGATTTTATATAGAAGAAAAGTTACATATACACTTGTAAAGGTACTACATTATACAAAATTGTGAGCTTTAAACCATGTTAAAATGTTATTATCTCATCAAATATATAGGTGGAGTTATGATTTGTGTCATTCACACTTGTATGATGAACCCTTTGTTATTAGTTCATCTACATCTAAAGCTCAAAATGCTCATTTCCACCTTGTGATGTCATTTAGTGGTAGTTTTCAAATTAACAGCTACCTTTAACTAGTCTAATTCATCTGCCAGTTTCACTTCGTGGAAGCCATCTAACCTCGCAGCATTAAGATTTGTTTGCTCAACGGCAGGTGTGTACTTTTTTTTATTTAACCAATTGCTGCTATTTGGTTGTGACGTATGTAATGCACCTGAACACTCAGTGATGCCCAAGTAATTGCCGGCACAACAGCAAACAAAGCAAAGAATGAACATGTCTGTCAGCAATCATTGCCATTTGACATTGTGTTTTTTATTGCACCTTTAAGTCACAAGTTCACTGACAAAGTTTGTATTGTCCACATCCATCTTGATCGCTTTGTTTACTGTTGTGCTGTACCACAAAAGGGACCCAGACAGGTGCTTGAGTTTGACGTCATGGCTTCACAGTTCTTTGCTGATTGGCCAGTGCGCAGTCTGCAACTTCTGCGGTTCTTGCAAACTGTCTAGTGTATTCTGATTCTTGACCTAGTTGCTGGAGAGAAATGAAATTGAGCAGAGGCACTAGGTGGTGCCAGCCTGGCTAATCTTTAACCTCATGATCAATAGAGATTGGTAGTTCCAGAGTAGAAATCACCCAAATGATTCTAGTGAAAATGTATGGAGTTTTAAAACATAGTGGAGCACTTAATGTATGACCACATGACATCATAAGGTGGAACAGAGTGTTTTCAGTTTGAGAGAAAGGTTTGTGTGAAACAAAGCACAATGTCAGGTCTGTTTGTGATGAGGAAAAAGCATTATAACATGGATGAGAAAACAACATAATATGGGCCCTTTAAAACCAAATTATATATAGTGGAAAGCTGTATTTGAACATTTTGAAATTGCATGTTCTTCTTTTGTGAAACTTTTTTTGACCGTTTGAAACTTCTCTTGACTTTAAGCTGTCGCCATGGTAACTATAACTTCCAGCAGAACACTAGTCAGGCTGAAAACCTGAAAGCACATGAATAGAAATAATAATAAAAAAGGAGAGAGCATTAATTTAACCTATAACCACTTCACTTGAGAGGGCTACAATTAAGCATATAATAAAAGAAGTTAAATATTGCCTGTACATGAGATGCCATAAGACCATATTCTATTCTCAGTGAAAACCTTGTAGGGACTTAAAGCTGCTGTACCTTTTTACAGCCTTAAAGAGGTGAAAAACAAAACAAAACTAAACATTTTAAACAGTCTGCAGTGGTCCAAAGTTATTCATCATTTACCTTATACAGTGCTAGTATCCTAATTATTCACCGCACTGAGTTTATAAGCACTTTCCACAACTCTCATAGACCAGTACAGAGTTTTGCCGTGATTGTGAGGCTAAAAGCAACTATAATTCTAATCCGCACTTCCTGATTACTGCAATAAAATGCTTGCAGTGGATTAGTTTGACCTCAAGAGCTGCTTATACAATATCTCTGAACTAGGGCAAGATATTTCAGCTAATATACACCTAATGACATGCATTTCACCTTACATACACAATTTTATATAATGGTTCAAATTATCTGACCAGCTTCTTGCAGCCTGGGAACAGACAAAATTGTTGCCACTGAGGACTTGAGCTGAACCGAAGTGTTACAAAAGATGTAGCAGAAGGAGAACAGAAAGAATGAAAAAAAAAAAAAAACAAAAAAAAAACATCAAGGTAAAATCATTGGAAAAGTGAAATGCAAATATGAACTTAAGAAATATATGGGGACATTTTCATACCCTAACCTAATCTTACCTAACTAAGAGCTGCTTCAGAACACATTTGCATTACCAGGAGTAAACGATGGCAAAAGGTGAAAAATTTAAATAATTTTTAAACAGTACAAAAGTAACAAAACAAAAATGTATGTATCTAAAAATTCAAGCTGAAAAAGCCCCATAGTTTCTCTCATTGGAAACAGAAAACCTTCACTCATTGAAACTACTTTTGGAAGAGGAAAGAGAACAAATATTACATTTTTTCGGCTGAACTTACAAAAGGTACAAAGTGTATCTCTGCAATTTTTAGGTTAATTTTGTGATTCATTCATTCTCTTTAGTGCGATAGGTACTTGGTTTTCAGCCCAAACATTCACAGGACGTTTTAGCACATTTTTCATATTTTGTATTTATTTATAGATTTTTGAGTTATTCATATTTCCTGTTTGATAATGGCCATCCCTAGTAAATACTTAAAGGTGCACTGTGTAAGTTTCTTGGGGGGTAGGGTCCATCACCTGCTTGTATCCATGGAGATGTTATTGCTTTGGCTGTAAAGTTCCACAGTACTGCATTAAACTTGTATAACCTGCATTTATTTAATTACAGGGGATTTTATGTCTTAAAAAATGCATATTCTTACTGAGAGTTGGGTCATTTATCCACAGATCTGACATGTAACTTAGCAACCAGTAGTGTCACCTTCTTGATTGATGTTTAATGCCATACTATGAGACATTTCAGCAGCTCCATGGAGACAAGAATACAACCTTCTATCAGTAAAGTTACACAGTGTACCTGTAAGAAATTACCAGCTTCAAAATTATGTCTGATGTCAAAATGATCAGAAAGTAAAGGAATAAAACAGGATTATATAAACATGGGTGTATGAAAAAATCCATATATTTAGAAAAAGGTTGGTTTTCACAGATTTTAAATAACTCTTATAACAGGTAAAATCATATTACTCACTCAAAAGGCTCACTGGGGTCATCCTGCTGTAGCTCTGATGGGATGGGGATGCGTTTGTAGTACATCTCCCAGTCAAACGCTCCCCTCATAGCGCCCCCTGCCTGCATGTCATAGCCAAAGTTGTCGTGGTCAATGACATCGATCATGGGACACACGATGGTCTTCTTGTTCTGAACGATCCGGTCTGAAAGATATAAATAATATATGCAATTATTAAAGAGCAACTACTGAAATCATCTTCTCAAACAATAAGCTCAAATCTTAAAGGTGCACTGTGTAACATTTGGTGGAGTATCAGTCACCAGCTTTTCACCATGGAGATGTTGCCTGGAAAAGCAGGTGAGTCCATAGGGCCAACTTACATGTCAAAGCTGTGGGGAGGCGAGCCCACTCACAGTAAGAATGCAACTTTTTTAAGTCAATAAAAAAAACATATTACAGGCAAACCAGCAGGTCCATGGAGAGAAGCTGATGTATTGTGATTTTAATTTCTTTCTTATTCTGTAAAGCTCTTTGAATTACTTTGTGTCGTATTGTGCCTCCAGTCTTTGTGTGAGCACAAGCGTGGGGCATGTAGCTCTGAAAAAGAGGTGTGCCGTGCCTCAAGATCACGTGGAGTGGAGCAGATTGAGGGAGTGGTGTGGTGCGTTCAGTGAATTGCCAGAATCATAAAAATAAATATCCACCTCCTTCTAAAAGTGCAGATCATGCATTTAGCCTCCCCGAGTGTTAATGGTTTAATCCATGTCTGTGTGCAAAGCAGTAAAATTAGAAACATTTATTCCAGCAGTGGAAACTCATACCTCAGGTGAGAGACATGGGGCAGGCGGGAGCGAGTGCGACTGGGGAAGGGAGATCAGTGAGTCTGATGTGGATGGGGAGCGCACAAGAAAGACACTGGTCTGCTGCATAATAGGAGGCAAAAGAACAAAGTAACGCAGAGAAAACTATGGTTGACGTTACAGGGGTCGCACAAAGCACAGGCTCCAGAGCTGTTTTTTTTTTGTACCTACTATATATATATATATATATATATATATATATATATATATATATATATATATATATATATATATTTATTAAATTTTTTTCCCTTTTTTCCTCCACATCTCTTTGGTCATGAGGCAAAGATTGCAGGCATTACCCACGCTGGCAGTGATTTTAAATGCCACAGCAGTCACAGATGCCATCACCATCACCATTTATACCTGTACCGTTCCACTCCAGCCCGCAGCGGCCAAGTATAGCCCGGCCTGGACACGCCCCCTCGTTAACTCTTTCGCTCGCACAAAGACCAGTGGCTAGATAGAACCCTTTGCGTTTGTGTTAGACAAATAAACTTGCTATGCTTTGCCTTGCTTTGCCAGAGGGCGAAGTTACACATTGTAATTTTGAAGCATTAAACAATAATAACAAAATTCTCCCTGTTATTGCAAAAAAAGTAAACATGATAAATGCTGAGTCCCAAAATATACTGTTCCAGCTAACATGTATGATTGTTCAATATATGTTAGATAGAACAATATTTTGGGAATCAATAGTTATAACAAAAAATGTGAACATATTTTACAAATAATGTTTCTATGATTCTGAACTTTAAAATGTTGAATAAAATCACTTCTGTGGCTTATTACTGATACAAACAAGGTACTAAAGTGATTCATTCTACTGTTTATGTATTGCAGTTCATGCTTTTTTTAATCATATTGGATATGGATTGGATATCATTATCATAAATCATTTTTTGGGGATAATTTTACTTTAAGGTTATCATTAATTCCCTATATTTTCTTAAAGCTCCTATATTACGCTATTTCTGAGCTATGTTATAATGTTACTTCCTCATCACAAAAAATACCTGGAGTTGTGTTTTGTTTCATACACACATTGAAAGGAGCATTTTGAGCTTTGGAGACATAAAAGGACAAATAATAAAAGGGTTACTCAAACGTGTGAATGAAACAAAACACATCTCCAGGTATGTTTTGAGGAGACAATACCGAGTCAATTTTTAGGTAATATAGGACCTTTAACCAATATATCATACTGTTAAATTTGTGATCTTGACAGGTCTGCTTGTAAGTCAAATACACAAGCTGGCCCTTAATATAAACAGTTTCAGAAGCCCTGTTGTAGATTTCCATCCTCTCTAGCTGATTTTCTTATCCCTTCCTCTCCACTCCTCTGTGTATTGGAGTCCATCTCTCTCTCAGCGTGCTGTATAAACATAGGAGTTGCATGGCGCTGCTGTGGTCATTAGTTGGATGTGAGTTGGTCCCGTGGGGTGCCTGCTCCTGCTGTGAAACATGAGTGAAGTCAGACCTAAGTGGAGCTGGTGATGGAGGAAGAACGCAGCACTCAGCCTCACAGCCAGACGTCGGCCATGTTTGTACTGTATTAAACTGACTGTCAGAGGACCATGGGCAGAGCGGCACTTATTTGTATGTTTATGGAGTGATATGGACAGCGCCGTATATAGCCAAAGGGAGACTATAGATTTAATGGTGTTTTCGAGTCACTCCGAAGCAGGCCTTATTGATGTCACAGCTGTCAAATCTATAGATATTGAATGAACAGGAAGGGCAGACAGTCGAAAGGCTCGCTGTTATCTATTTGAATTCAGCAGTGTGTAGCAAGGCAGTGATGTGTGACAAATGGTATTCACAGGGCCAGTTCTGGACCATAAACTGTATAAACATGTGGACTAAGGGGGTGTAACGTCATCCACAGTGCTTGGTTCCAGTCAAATTAAGCTTATTAAGGCTGGCGATTATGGGGGCGAATTTGGACCTGTGTTTCATATTAGGAATTCTGACCAACAGTATCATAGAAACTAAAGAGCCAACCCGGAGCAAGGCTGTTGAAGATAATGTCTGAACTGCTGGTTTAGCGAGATCATGCAGAGTAGGTTAATATAGACATTTTAAGAAAAAAATGATGAGGCTCACTGAGGCAGTTATCGAGAGAGGAGTGACCATTTTTCAATAGAAAGTGAATCTGAGTTGATGGAGCCACCATGCCACATCCTATTTGGAAAATGGTGGCTAGCTATGTCCGTTTTTATATACAGTCTTGTTCTGGACATATTATGCACCAAAACATCTGAGTGCTTATTGATATTAGTATATATAATATTATTAAGTATTAATAATAATAATAGTACATTTCAATGCCCATTTTCTCCTAGGGTAGGGTCCCACTAGTCAGGCTGGTGCCACCTAGTGCCTTCTCTCAGTTTCATTTCTCTCCAGCGACTAGGTCAGGAATCGGAACATACTAGATGGTTTGCAAGAACCCTGGAAGTTCCAGGTTCGCCCCAGCCAATCAACGAAGAGCTGTGAAGCCATGACGTCAAATTCAAGCGCCTGTCTGGGTCCCTTTTGTGGTACAGCAACAGTAAAAACAAGCAGTCGAGATGGATGAAGACGAAGACATAATTCTGTGTTGACAACGATTCCTTAGATCGAGGATTTAAAGCAGGAACAAAGCAAATGTTTGGTGAATTTTATCAAGGGGAGACACGTTATTGCCCTTCTTCCTACGTGATTTGGCACATTACATACGTCATGACCAAATAGCAGTGATTGGTTAAATAAAAAAAGTACCCACCTACCGCTGAGCAAACAAATCCTAATGCTGCGAGGTCAGACGGTTTCCACGAAGTGAACATTTTAAGTGGCAATACATGTTAAATCAGGTTTAATTTAGTTTATTTGATGAATGTATTGTGTTATTGGACCAATTTTACTACAAGGCAGAGTTTTTAAGGTAGAATGTGTGTCATGTGCTGGTTTGTTGTCTAAGGCTGTGACATTATCTGTAAAGTGAGCTGTTGTGTTTTAGTTGCAGTTCTCTCACCGAGCAGTGGGGGGAGCCAGTTGACATTGGCCTCACAGTGGGAGTCCAGAAAGGTGATGACTTCTCCTTTTGCTGCGGCGGCTCCGAGTAGTCGAGTCCGGATCAGACCCTCTCTTTTCTTTGTCCTCAGGATACGCACTTTAGGGAAACGCACCATGTACTCCTCCAGCGCCCCCTTCAGGTGTTCTGTGGGGAGACAGACAGAACATAGTACAACTTAGTACATTAGAATATTCTGGTGTACATTCTGCCTTAACTCTGCAATATCTGGACATCTGGTTTACTTTTCACCTTCTTTTTTGATCAAAAAGGGTCCCTGGAGAAGTTTGTGAAGAATATACTTTATTATAAAACCTTGTATAACATTTATTGATGCTGACAGTTTAAATTATGTAAATTGATGGAATAGCAAAAACAGGATGTGCTCAAACTAATGTGGAGATGTTGTAATCTAGTTAAAAAGGTGCATTGTGTAACAGTTCTGCTGGAGGGTCCATCAAATGCTTTTCTATGTGGAGATGTTACTGCTTTGTCAGTATGTATTAAACATTTCTGTCTTTGTGGAGACCAAACCAGACCAAGCTTTAGCTCAGATCTGTGGAGAGGAGACCCCGCTGCCTCAACATTTTAGCTTTAATATTAATAAAGCAGTAGACATTTCCTCAATATTGGAACCCTGGCCACTCTTTACTGAAAAAAATCACATAAAAGCCCAATTAGTCCAAGTCTTTTCTGAAATGCATTAACTTTCCAATTAAAAAAAAAAAAAAAAAAAATCCATCCAACCGTATTTAAAAGGCTCAGTGCCGCGTCATTAAAATCGTTTTTCTTTTACGAGGCTGAACATCTGAAGGTGACTCTTTTATTGTCCTCTTGATCATGACCCTCCCACTGTAAACCATGACATTGACCAATTGACATGGGGTCAAACGCATCGTGCTGTAAATCAAACAATAAAACGGTTGTGAACGCCGCTATCTACGCCGCTAATCACATCAATGCGGTCCCCATGTGAAGAAGAGGAGAGGAGCTTTTAATTATGATTGGTTCGTTTTGCCCAGATTAATTGAAATCAAGCTCAAAGTGTTGAGAGGAAAAGAGGAGGCGATTAATCAAGTTAACGAGAGCGAGGCCATGTCGAGAAATGCATTAGTCTTTATTAAAACAAGACGTCACACTCACTTAAGGCTCTGCGTTTACTGTGTTTGTACAAGAGGCTTATTTAAAAAGGTCTTGATTTTATCGCATGTATTTGAGCAAACTTTGTCTTGCCCCAGTACTGATATATTGTCTTAGCAGCTCTTGAGGTCAAAATTATGTCATCTGTGTGGAGTCTACCTGTAATTATAAATCACTGTCCAATAATCAGGAGGTGCACGATAGTATGCTAGTTGTCCACAAGTGGGGTGAAAAGTGCTTATTTAATATACCTGGAGTTGTGTTTTGTTTCATTCACACATGTTCAACACACAAACCCTGCATATTTAGACTGAGTTCTTCTCTCAGACTGAAAACACTCTGTTCCACCTTGTGATATCATGTAGTAATACAAGCGCTCCACTGTGCTTTTAAACTCCAAACCTTCACTATAATAATTTGGTTGATTTCAGCTAGGGATTGCCAACCTCTGAACTACAGGTAAAACGTATCTGTTAACTATTACTTCATGACATCACAAGGTGGAAACGAGCATCTTGTGCTTTGGAGATGGAAATAGAGTAAAAAACTCAAATTAATCAAACATGTGTGAATGAAACAAAAAACAACCCTGAGTACGTTTTTGATGAAGTAACAGCATTATGACATGGCTTAAAGGTCACAAGAGTCGATTTTGCATGATACAGGATCTTTACATTTTTCAGATGATTACTTTTTTAGATCAAATTTCAGGGAAAAATACAGAAAAAATCAATAAATAAAAAATATTTGCATTGTAGCAGGGGTTATCCTAATGACGATCACCAGAAATGATAGTCAGTGAGAAATCTTAAAATGCGCTTGCTCAGTAGACTGTAAAAATGTGTAAACATATAAACTTACTTAATATTCTTCTTAATCAGCTCATTTGGAGTTTCTGATCATTTCTTTTTCATCTGTCTCTGGTCTGAAAGCCTCTCAGAATGGATAACTACTTGTTTCTTCAAGTTGAAAATGGCCATATGGTGAGATAACCTTCACTTCATATTCAAAGTCCCTCCAGAAACTTTTCTACTTTTGAATTCAGTTGGACTGCCAAGATGTTGTTTGTTTGAGTATAAGTTCCACAATATAGCATTAAAGGTCCTATATTAGTTGTTACATGTTAGAATGTTGTTACATCATCAAAACATACCTGGAGTTGTGTTTTGTTTCATTCTCGCATGTTTAAGTAATCCTTTATTATTAGTCCGTTGACATTTGATGGAACAGTGTTTTCTGTGTGTGTTAAAAATGTCTGAATGAAACAAAACACAACTTCAGGTATGTTTGTGATGAGGAAACAACATTATAACATTGATCAGAAAACATTTCTCCTTGAAGACATCGAGGTGACCCACCACGTTAAAAGTCAGATCTGTGGAGACTGAGGCAAGCCCATAGAATACTCGTTTAGCACATATAATACCACATTGTGTAACATTTCAGGCCAAAAAAATATGATCCCCATGGATACAAAGGCGACAAACTTCCCATCATAAAAGTTACTGCACCTTATATATTGTGCATTTCTGTAGACTTTCTGCAGTATAGATTTCTAGAAAGAACGTTGCCATCTCTGGCCTTGGTGGTTTTATTGGCCCAGTTGTGATTGATGTCGGCTGGACAGGACTCATAATGGAGCTCTAACTTTTTTAATAAAAGCTGAAGTAACATGTGCAGAGGTCAGGGTAGGGTGGAATATAGTTGGACAGGCAGTACAGACCAGTGCTGCTTTGAACTCTGGGTAATAAATAGTGCATACAGAGCAAAGCATTCATCACAGACCAGTTTCATCTACAGAAGGACGAGGCACTGACATCGAACAAGAGGGAAATTATGTTAATACAGTTAGTGTCATTTTTTATGCAGGGATATTCTGTCCCTCTAGGCTTTTTCAATTCAGGTGTTTCTACAGTGAATTGTCTGCTTCATCTGATTATTGATACTTAGGAGCTGGTGGCATCAACATACCCTCAGGGTGTGATACTAACTGGAAGCACTGCTCTATTTGAGCCGTTTTACACATTGTATTGCAAAAACATACCTAGAGTTTTTTGTTTTGTTTTTTTTGGTGTTGTTGTTGTTGTTTCTTTCATTAATTTATTTGCATTGTTTCTTTACATTTTGCGCTTTGTAGATGTAGACCAACTAATAAACCATATTACGAATTAAATAAAACATGACTCCAGGTATGGTTTTGAGGAAGGAACAACATTATAACATGACTTAATCGCACAAGAACCTATTTTACGTATTACAGGATGGTTTTGCTTAATATATCTCCTTTTAATATTCACTATAAAATGCATTGATTTGCCTTGTCTAGCTCCCCCTGGTGTTAATGACCTGACAAAACCCAGGCTCTGCTCTGTGAACCTCTGTTTCCAGGCAACCATCGCAGCCAACCGAAGCTATTTACATTTTGAACTCATTTGTAGATTTTGTGCGACATTACATGACATAATTATGAGTAAACAGACAGTGTTCATGTGAGCTGTGGCGGCGGTTTGTCTGGCTGCTTTCGTCTCTGAAGGGTGGTAACCTCTAAATGAGTTTGAGGCAGCGGAAAATCTCATTAACGAGGGGACATAAATGCATCGTTCATTCAGGCGCGGTGACAGACACGGCTAATTAAGCAGAGAATCAAAGACGTTCTAAAGAGCAGAGCGAGGAGTCTTCACGTGTCCCAGATGTGGATGGGAAAATAAAGGGTTTGTTTGGGTTCAATAAATGTTTTGATCAGGACTGCACTCAATCACGTTAATCCAAAACAAAGTTGAGATTTGGTTTATTTTAGAATTATTATCTAATGAGGAAGACAAGTGTTTAGTTTTCATTGCTGATAGAAGGGTACCATGACCATCAAAAAATATTGCTATAAAACACAAATACAGAATACCACTTTATAACAATTACACAATAACCTATAATGGGATTATGCAATACTTTCAGATGGAGGTAAAAGTCACAGTTATGTATTTATTACCTGGATAATTTCGCATTAGTGAACAGGCCCTTGAACCCACTGTGCTATTACACAAATCAGCATTTCAACAATATTAATTTTAGCTGGTGTATGTAATCTAAAACCCTGCAACACATCTATTTTGTTTTCCTGACATTTCTCAAAAAAAAAAAAAAAAAAAAGAAATCTGTCGATATGATATGCATCACAATATGTCTGTCATGATTCAGTATATCATGATATATCCTGATACTAAAACAAAGGACAACAAATTGTGATTTATGAATAATTACATATTCTCGTGAGAAGAAAATGGGAGTAAATCATCATGAGAATAGAAAATGGAACTTCAATTGATTTTTTCATGAAATACATGACTTTAACATGACTTTAAGATGCATTTTGAATTGATACAAGGATCACGCAATGCAAAATCACGATATATCACTGATTTTTTTTTTTTTTTTTACACCTCTATTGCCAACCCTTGGATCAGAGGGCAAACATTCTACCAAATGTGTCACCCCCCTATTTTAAGGACAAGTCATTCTTCATTTCACCTGTAGCTCTTAGCCAATCACAGCCATCCTTTGCTTCTCATCCAATCATCTGGAAAATGGTGTGATTTAAGGTAGCAACCCTCTATGAACTATGGCATTGTGGTTTAAAATGAACAAACTATTGGCCTGATGTATCAACTGAGTCTATCTTTATTGCATGCTGCTACTGAAAATGCAGCATTCAAGGAAGAGCAGTAAAAGCTTAATAATCTCTTGGTATTTATAAAAGTAAAAAAGATAAGATCTCCCGTTGAGTTTTAGTTCAGAATAAGGCTAAAAGATTAACCGGGAATGAAACAAACTGTCAAAGGTTGCAATTTAGCAATTCACAAAGACAGCGGTTATTTGGGTAATTTAGAGTAATCTTCTAAGAACCAAATGTCCCTATGTCTCTATGGGCTCTTATGAGGTTTAAAAGCAGATAACCCTCTAACAGGCGCTTGAGTAGGCACAGGAAAGGAATACAATTTTCTAATAATTATTACAATTATTCATCCAGTCAGCAATCAATTACAAACACAGTGCTTTAAAGTAAATATGTGGATAAATACAGTTGGTTGGCTGAATGATTGCTTGTTCTGCTTGTCTGTACATTGTTTTTTAGTCCCCTCCCTGACTGCGCTCCTTCCCAAAATGCTCCAGTGTAAATGTACCTTTGTCACTGAAGTCGTCGACCAGGATGAGTTCATGGATGAGAGATGGGGGGGAGCGGTTCAGGACACTGTGAACTGTTCGGAGCAAAGACGACCAGCCTTCGTTATGGAACGGGATGATCACACTGGTGTTGGGCAGCTTCTCCGAGTACAGCTTCTGTTTACAACTGAAAAACACAAAAGCTGTAAGGAATGGGCTTTAAAATGAGTCATGCTGTGATAACTGTGTCATTTTCCACTCTGTATTGGCTCTGAATTGAGCTCTACACATTTTCATATGGGGTGGCTTTCATTGAACGTGTTACGATGCAGAACGTGGAACTATTTGAATTATCTGATTGATCAAAGCGTCATAACAGAGGATCAATCCATAAATCACACTTTTGTTACATACAGATGAGAGAAAAGCACAGACATCTTCCCTGTCCACAAATGCACAATGCACTAATCTCCTGCATGCTGACGAGTTTTACAATCATGGTAAGGCTGAAAAAAACAAATGCACTTCCTGGTTCTTGGACAATAAAACAACTATAATGGAAACAATGTGTGTAAGTAGCTGGAGTTATGTTTTCTGATAGTGACTGCGGTTAAAAAACCTTCACTAATGTGTCATTTATAATTGGCTTAAAGGTGTTGTATGGAGCCTGGAGTTGTATGGAGTTGGCGGTGGTGATGGTGGCTGCTCCGATCACGCTTCAAGCTCCATGTAGGGTGAGATCTTCTAAATTATAGGGAAATGCGCTTTATGGCATATGTTTGAGCTGGTGGTGGTGGCTAATGACATTTGTAACTCCTGTATGCTCATAATGTTGCTTTCAAATTCTGATCTCAAATTTCCTTTTCTCAATGTAGCTGTTGACAGTAGTTGTTCTTATTTATTTACTGGTTGGGTTAGACTGGTTAGACTTGCAATAAAGATTCACTAGCAGGGACCACACCACAACAAATGAATATGATAAAGATATGTATTGATGGTAGATAGATATGATGGCTAGGGGTAGATTCAGGGTGGGGGCTCCGTCTCCAATTCAAAAGACCCCAGTTGATTCGGAAACCCACTACCTTAAAGACGCTGTCTTCAGACTGAAGGATGGACAAGAGACACGGGGTGGGAGGTGGTCGAGAGAGCTGATACAGACTGTTTTGTCGGGATGGGTAATAAATATGGGTAAATATGGGTAAATGAAGGTGTAGTTGAGATGAGGAGAAGAGGTTGAGGCGTGGTCCAGCTCCTGAATGTCAGTTAAACACATTAACTCCACGTAGTGCAATGCAGGATAGCCTGCTTTCGGATCAGTAATAGCACAAGACACTGTAAACCTTCTAGGCTGCTAGCACCTTGCACTTTAAATATCTAAAATTCAAAGCACCTTAATCCTGTACACATGAGCACTTTACATCTTAAAAACCAACTACAGCACTTTATCATACATTTTGCACATCTCTAGCACTTTGGGGTACCGAAATATAGGATTTAACTTGTGTTTTGGTTTGATTAAAGTTTGGTTTTGTATTAGTAATTTTGGTTTTGGTCATGATTTAATTTGATTTAGTTTAGCCTATATTTTAGTCCCAATTTGTTGTGTTGTTGATTGCGTCTCAAAACTGTACTTTTAAATGCTATAAAATATACTCTTGATGATGGATTAAATTTAAACAATTGTACAATTCCACTTAATACTGCCTCTGTCCTTTGTTTTGCCAGACTTGCCTGTATTTTTCAAATGTACAAGTGGGGACACTTAGTCTAGCAGAGGTTACTCTTCAATAACTGCTTATGCAGTAGTGAGGCAAAACAAATTGTACTCAAATATATGGACAAAAATTGGATACAGACTGTTTCAAGGGCCCATTTTAGGCTATAATGTTGTTTCCTCATCACAAAAAAAACCTCGAGCTGTGTTTTGTTTCGTTCACACACAAATCATAAACCCTGCATATTTAGGAGAGTTCTTCTCTCAAACAGAATGCACTCTGTTCCACGTTGTGATGTCATATGGTATTACAGGAAGTGCTCCACTGTGTTTTTTAAACTCTATACACCTTCACTAGAATCCTTGGGATAATTACAGCTCTGGAATTTGCAACCTCTACTGAACAAAACAAAAGGAACTGTTACCTTGAAAACTACCACTACATGACATCACAAGGTGGAACAAAGCATTATAAGCATTGGAGATGTGGACAGACTAATAATAAAGGATTACTCAAATATGTGTGAATTGAACAAAACATAACTCCAGGTATTTTTTGAGGAAGTAACAACATTATAACATGACTAAAAGCTCACAAGAGTCAATTTTGCGAAATATATGAACCATTACAAAGACATTGGACCCCATTTTTTTCGTTATATCTCTCAAACATTGAATCATCTCGTTCCACATTCAGTAACTGGATGTTCTCCTGGAGGCCGCATACATCCGTTACCACTGATTATATTTGTAAGGGAACAGAAACCGGCCTTGTATTTTGAAGCGTTCATGTTTTCTAAGGTCAAACTCTGCAATGAGATGAATCTGTCTGAAATCACGGAGCAATCTTCTCCAAACCAGCAAACCATCCCACCTCCACCGGCCACAAAGGGACAGGAATTCAATCTATTTTGTCTGTGCAGCTTCCCTCTCTAAAGGAAAAAAAAAGGAATGTGTATCTGTGAAATTGCTCAGTTTTGCAATGAAAGCACACTCTTGTAAATATTTATGTTTTTTATTTATTTATTATTTACTTATTTTTTATAGCCACAGAAAAGATTCAGCACTTTAGTTTTTAGTTTAGTTTATTTTTTGATTTGTAACAGCCTGACCACCCAATTCCTTCTAGATGCTGTTTGAATCCAGAAGGGACTTGAGACGATCTAACCACAGCTACTGTTTCTCATAACATTCAGAAGGAAATATATAACCTCTTTTACCTGAGATAAGTAGTTCGGTGCTGGTGATTCTGTAACATCTGCACAATTTTTCAGTCCTTTATGTTGTTTTTCCTCTATTTTAGGTTTGTTTTTGATGTGAAAGGGATGTGGATCTCTCTGATTGGTTAATCCACCTGTCAATCATGTCCTCTGAAATTGAGGAGACAGGATACAGCTCTAGGTCTGCTTTTCTTTGCAAAGTTTTGTCAAAGCGTGTGGTTATGTCTGGTTAGTAAAAAATATACTCCAGTGAACAAGAATGAGAGCAGAACTATTAAATAGAGTAAATAAAAAAATGGGAATTGGGTCGCACAATTTATTTATTATAAACAATTTCAAACTCTCATCTTGCCCCTTTCTTGTAAATCCAATCTTGTGTCTCGTCTCTTCTTGTGTTTTGTATCTCATATCTAATCATGATTAATCGATGGATAATTCCAGCCGTAACTGCAAAGCTGACATATTTTCCAGTTTAAATTATTCAATAAATTTCCAGCTAAGACAGAGACACACTGTTTTATTTTCTATTTGGTATAGTGTACTGTTTTGGAGTGAATTAATAATGCATGAAATTGGAAAGTGACTTGTGGGGCTCTATATAACACAGATGTGGGAGGGCAAAACTTTTCCTTGACATCGTATTGGTGGACTAAGGGCCAAACATAACAGGTTCATCATGTAAGGAATGGAGACCTATAACTCCATTTCAATGAAAGTTGCCTGTGGTTACGCCTGTCACACTAGCAAATGTTGAATCATGATGTATACTGCAGCAATGGAGAAATATCAGAGTAAACGATAGCAATGAAACAACTTTAAGCCACTGACACAACAACAACAAAGCTAAATAATCCCAGTAAACCTGTTTCAAAATAGACAGTATCATTATAAAAAAAATAAAATAAAAATAAAAAAACATGAGCTGCAACAAATAAGCAGCAGAATGAAACAATAAGATTTGTGCTCAATTTAGTTTAACCGAAAAATTGAATCAACCATTTTTAATAGCTGTTTTTATTTGTATATTTTTGTTTGCTCAAACTACAAACGTGTTAAAAATAAACCCACAGCCTTTTCAGCAGGTCTCACACTATAATAAAAAAATACTGAAAAGTAATGCAGTAGAAAGTAGAGATACCTGTGGCGGCTTGATTATGGAAAAAAAAAAAAAAATCATTATCACAGTTATTTTGGTCAATATTGAAATTACGATTAAAACTTTATTAACAGCACAAATCATCTCACCTCTTGAACTTCCAGTTAAATCAGATCTTTCTGGTCAGATTGTGTTAAAATAAAGCTCAGATTTAGTCTAACTTGAGTAATAGAGCTGCAGACAGAGCAGAGCCTACAGTTAGCATGACCCCCCAAGGAATATTAATGACACAAGCTGCAAAGAACCAATATATAAAACTTTCCATGATTGAAAGTATTCATTCTCTACTGAAAGCACAGGTTTCTTTATGGTTTACAGCAGGCAAATGTTTAAGACCAATGATGCTCTTTGACTAGGAATAAATTAGGCCCTATATACAGTACTGTATGCTGGAAAAACATGCATTTGATAAAAAGAGTGACATGTGGAGAGGCCAAAACAACACTGGATAAAAGCTTTCAATTCCTTACAGTTCAAAACCCATCCTTATCACAAGTAAACAACCTGCTCTTGAATACAGCCCTCACAAAAATGAACCCAAGGATTTCCAAAAGACACAAAGAGCTGACCTTCAGACCCCAGACCTTTTAAGAGGGACCCATTTTGAAACTGGATGTTTTTTCCACTTCTTCCTTTTAGCGGAAATTATTAAAAATATCAACAAAGAAAACAATGGACCTCAAAGCTCAAACCTTTATAGGGCTTTTTTGAATATTTCAATTATCGTTGAAAAAAATATGTGCAGCTAATTCTGTTAAAATTGTTAATACTTGCAGCTGATGTCATCAATGTTTCCTGGGGTTGTGAAGCTAACTGGAAGCACTACTCTGTTACTAAAGTTAGATTTATTTGTATCTTTATTTTAGCACAGTCTGACCAGAAAGAGCTGACAGGTGAATTGATTTGATCTATTAAAGAAGCTTCTCACACATAAAGATAACTAGCATTAGCCAACAGTTTTCTCTCACCTTTTTTGTCGAAAATCAATCTCCTAAACAGGACCATGAAAGCTTGAATTGATCACACTCTCTTGAAAATGTGTGGTTTAAATACATTTTTTTCTTGAGTTTTCAGACTAACTTAATGCTAATGTGTTCATTGTGACACCATGGCAACTGCTGAACATTCTGCCCATAGAGTCACATGTAAAAAAAAAAAATGAATATGGTGAGATTTAAACAATAAAAGGTTGAAAAAATAACTTCTATGACTCATTACAGATGCAAACTAAGTACTAAAGTTTCATTCAATACGCTATTTATACCAGCTATTGCAGCTCATGATTTTTTTTTTAATATATCTGCTCTTGAGTTATTGTGTCAGTGGCATAAATTACTTTCAGTATTATCTTTTATCGTCTATATTTACTTCAGCTACATTGCACTTCAAAATGTGTTATCATGGCAGACCTATATATTGGTTAACATTATATTGTGTCCTTACATCCGGTGTCTGATGTCGAGCAGGGACCTGTTGTTATGGTTACTATGGTTAGTTAAATCATGATGGTGTTTAGTATCACAGTATTGTATTATGATAGTGTTTAGTATTACAGTATTGCATTATGATAGTTTGACACAATTAATAACAATTAATAAATACACCTTCAAATCAGAGTGCGTCTGCCATCCTTTTTTCTACTCAACAAGAATTCAAGCCCTTTGGCCTGATGAGCACCTGTATGTGTAAGTTTTGATCCAGTGCAGGATTCCAGTATCGATATTTGTGTATAACAGTGTTTAGTATTACAATATTGTGTGTCAGTATACACAGTGTTTAGTATTACAGTACTGTATTATGATAGTGCTTAATATTTCAGTATTGTGTTATAACAGTATTTAGTATTACAGTATTGTGTTACGATAGTGTTAAGTATTATAGTATCATGTTATTATTGTGTTTAATATTACAGTATAACAGTATTATAGTATTATGTTATTTGACAGTGTTTGTATTACAGTATTGTGTTATGGTTACTATAGGTATATTACATTAAGATAGTGTTTTGTATTATAGTTAGTGCTGTCATGCGATTAAAAAAATTGAGAGATTAATTAATTATTATCTGTAATTAATTAATCTAATTAATCTATTTTTAATCTCACCTAAAAATTGCTGAGAAAAGCCTTAAATTTGAGGTATTTTCATTTAAATTCCTTATTACACTATTGTGGCAGATCAAAAGACTGATATAGAACAAAAAAAGTGACTTTATAAAGTCATTTATTGTTTAACAAACTTTAACAGATGCAGTCACTTACATTCCACAGTATCATCATTATTATTACTATTACTAATCTGCAGTGTTGGGAAGGTTACTTTTAAAATGTATTCCCCTACAGATTACAGATTACATATCCCAAAATGTAGTTTGTAACTTAATCCATTTAATTACTTAAAGTGAGTAACGTAATATGAATACTTTGGATTACTTGATATTGTCATGCTTTTTAAAACTACATGAATGTAGCAACTGCATCCTGCAAATGTTGTTCTTGTTTGTTCTCTTCAAATTGGCTGTTAAGCCCAAGTCTCCATGAATAAGAAACTGTTTGCTGTAAAGTAGCAAAGACTAGGAAATCTGAACATAATAACTTTTGTCTACATAAAGACAATAAAAAGTCCAGTCTTTCCTTAATCATATTAAAAGTATTATTGATAGAGAAATGCTTTATATATGAGATCACTGGTTTTAGTCCTGATTTAGACCTGCTTTAGTCCTACTTTAGTCCTAGTTTAGTCCTGGAATGGGTTAGTCCTGGTTTTAGTCCTGTGTTAGTTCTGGTTTAGACCTGGTTTAGACCTGGTTTAGACCTGGTTTAGACCTGGTTTAGACCTGGTTTTAGTTCTGGTTTTAGTTCTGGTTTTAGTTCTGGGTTTAGTCCTGGTTTAGACCTGGTTTAGACCTGGTTTAGACCTGGTTTAGACCTGGTTTTAGTGCTGGTTTTAGTCCTGGTTTAGACCTGGTTTAGACCTGGTTTAGACCTGGTTTAGACCTGGTTTTAGTTCTGGTTTTAGTTCTGGTTTTAGTCCTGGTTTAGTCCTGGTTTAGACCTGGTTTAGACCTGGACTGGGTTAGTCCCGGTTTTAGTCTTGGTGTTACTTCTGGTTTAGAGGCGCACAGGAGGAAGCGCGGTTTACGCAGCGTACGCGAGAAAACGTACGCGGCGCACGGGAGGACAACGGTGTCCGCGCAGTAACTATGGAAGGAAACGTGGTCCGCGGGTTCTCAGGTTAATGACGATGATGAAGGTGTGTGTTTGTGTGTTTGTGTTTGTTTGTTGTGTTTGTGTGTGTTTGTGTGTTGTTTGTTTTGTGTGTGTTTGTGTGCGTGTCCCCTCATGTGGCAGGTCATCATCATGAGCCTATGCAGGTTGTTTTCACCAGTAACATTTAAGTTGTAGGCGATTTTATATTTGTTATTTTCTTATTTATTTCACGTTGGGAGAATAATTTCCAAAACACGAATGCGTTTTTACCTGTGCACTGCTGCCTCTGTTCTACTGGCTCTTCGACCTCGTCCATTGTGCGGCAGAAGCTGCCAACGTGAAAATGACGTTTACATCGCTCTTACTGCGCACGTTTTGTGTGGGTTTCCGGCAATGAGTGGAATTAGCGAAAAAAAAAATATATATAAATGTGTTTTTTTTTTTGTGTGTCCCAACAACACATAAAAACAGATTTTATAATAAAGCAACTTGCATACAGAAACAGTAAAGTTAGAGATTAAAAATGAGATTAACACGATTAAAAAACATAACGCGCTAAATATGACTAATTAATTAATCGCAATTAACGCGATAATTTGACACCCCTAATTATAGTATTGCAGTATTTCAATATTAAAGCATTACGTTATTATGGTGTTTAGTATTACAGTATTGTGCCCTTACTTGTGGTGCCTGATGTCTGGCAGGGACCTGTTTAGTGAGATGCGGTCACTGATGTAGATGTTGAATCCGTTTTCTCTGTAGGCCTGGTCCACTCTGTCTGCGTCACTCAGAGGAAACGCCTTCCCCTGCTCACCATTACCTGAACACATGATATTCATTCATTCATTTGATCATTTCATATAGAAGATTAGCAGCAAACATTTTTAGATTGCACAAAACAATTTTCACCAAAAATTATTTTCATTTTAGTGAATTCTGTAAACCTTATCCACTGACCAATAGAAATGACTGAATATTGGAGTGTATGCCTTTATAAACTGTCTGAAATGCATTAATTATAAGTTATTTTTTCACTTGTCTTCCCTTAAAATGTTTTTTTCTCCTGGCCATGTTTATATAATATGCACTGTGAGCTGAATCCTAATTTTGAAAAACAATAAATACAGCAATTTGTCATTTTGAAATAAATCGAATAACTCAGTAATGTTTGTTGCATAATAGGTCTGCTTTAAGTGTGCTTTGATAGAAAAAAAAAAGTGCAATGTTATTCTTACATTTATACTGAATTACTTAACTGAATTACTGATTTAAATGAAATAACACACCCTTATGCATTGCCAAATTCATTTCATTCTTGGGTTAGTTTAAGTGTTCATATTTCTCTCAGTTAAAGCAGATGGACTTGTTTACAATGAACACTCTTGTCTGGATAAACATACACATAGTATATCACAAATTAAATTACAATCACAACCAAAAAAACAGTTATTATATTTTATTTTCAAAATCATGCAGCCCTACATGTGCCCGATCATAGAGCACGAAAATCAATCATCCAAACTTGAGATGATCCAACAACAGCTGCTAATTTGTATCACGTGTCTCTCAAATGCAGAAGACTTCTCCTTGTCAAAATTCTTGTAACATTTAGAGCAAAATGTATACTTAGTTTACCTGAGATAAGTAATAGTTTGGTGTGATTGTTGATTCTGAAAAAAAAATGCTGTTTTCTTATGTGTTGTTGTTTCAAATGTTTTATGTGTAAGCCATCATGTTTTTGATGCAAACGGACCATGCATCTCTCTGATTGGTTAATCTGCCTGTCAACCATGCCCTCTGACATCAGGGAGACAGGATTCAGCTCCAGAGCTGCTCATCTTTGTAAAGTTTTGTTAAAGCGTGTGGTTCTGGTGGCCAGGTAAGCCCTATGAGAAATCTCCACCTTTGTGACTCTTGTTTGTTGCTTTGTGCCAAATGAAAATAAACTCCAGCCTCTCGTGACAAATCATGGAGAAGTTTCAGTCGCCAGAGGGACAAGTGAAAGATTAACCACCGAACCTCAATAAAATCGGACTAAAAAACACATTTCTCTGTTAGATTTACTCTTTGTCAGTGCTTTCGGGCTAATGCCAAAGCCGTCGTCGTGGAGATGTGTAATGTTTGGAGGAAAAGCCCCGGGCCTGGACAGAATCAATGCTCGTTTGAAAAGATTAACTGAGTTTAATTATGAACTGCACTGTACGCTCACAGCATCCATCCACAAAGACGGACAAATCCAGCTAAAACAGAGGATTTAGCAAACATTAGACTCATTATTACTCTTACTAAAAGTTGTCCCGTTGATTTGGTATGCACTCTTTTCAGATAGAATGGAATTAAAAGGCTCATATTCTCATCTATGTTATAATGTTTCCTCATCATCATACCTAGAGTTTTGTTTTGTTTTGTTTCATTCACACATGTTTAATACACAGATGCTGCATATTTAAGCTGAGTTCTTCTCTCAGACTGAAAACACTTTGCAATGTCATGTAGTAAAACAGGAAGTGCTTCAGTGTATGGTTTTAAATTCAATACACCTTCACTAGAATAATTTCAATGCTTTTAGCCCAATCTACAAAAGGTTAAAGGAGCTGTTCACTTGAAAACTACTGCTCCATCACATTACAAGATGGAACAGAGTATTTTGAGCTTTGGAGATGACAGACTAATAATAAAGGATTCCTCAAACATGTGTGAATGAAACAAAACACAACCCCAGGCCTGTTTTTGATGAGGTAACAACATTATAACATGACTGAACGCTCACTAGAGTCAATTTTGCATAATATAGGCTCATTAAGGTTTATGCATGTAATTATCGTGACAAGCCTATACATTAGCAATGATATATTCCTAGTTTCGGTCCAGTAGGTCAAACACAGAGTAAAATCATCCCGTTATTACATTTTATTAATTATATGTTAAGATAGCTTGGCCACATGGCACAGAAGAGGGACGATGAAGATACTGTGTGTTAAACCTGGAGGCCAAATAGGAGATTTATGGATGCAGTGAAAGAGGACAAGTCTTTAGTTATAAGACACTGTAAAAGTACCAGATCGTGAAGCGTCTTTCTTCATGGCCTCGTAGTCATGCCAGTCGATCCTTCGCACGCCGTCTGCTCCCACTTCAACAATCCTCCTCATTGCATACCCCTGAAAACACAAAAAAAAATGACTATTACAAAGAGAAATTAGATAAAAATGTGTCTGATGCTCTCTGCTGGCAACAGATGCTTAAATAGGGCTCACAACAGTAGCGGCAAACATCGCCGTTGATCAAGAGTGAGAGATGATTGGTAGTGAAGGCTGAAGTTAAGACTAGGTTAAGGTTAAGGCACATGTTATTGTCCCTGAAGGAAAATAAGTCCGCTGCATTTGACCCATCTTTCAAATCCACTGGGGAATTTCATCAAGAGCAGTGGGTATGTGCCAGGGGATCCATATCCATGATCTTGTGGCTAAGCTTAGTCAGGACTACCTTCGCTGGAGGATTGTATCTACGGTGCATGTTTTGGGTTGCTGTGAGAGCTGAAATATACATTAATTGCTTGAGTAGAATTGAAACGGCTCCACACCAAAAAGGGATAAAGCAAACATGTGTAAAATATGAATAAATAAATAAATATGAGTCCCAGATACAGCTTTAATATGACAGGGGAGGTTGTTGGTTAAATATTCCAGATAATCTATTGATACTTTGCAGTGACATCACACAGGGGTGTTCTACATATATCCCTATGGTGGAATTTTTAGAGGTTAAGGCTACGTTTCTATGATGACTGAACAGAAGAGGCAAAAGTGGAGCTGCATCTTCACTTTTTATTCCGTGTTTAGATTAGCGTTTTCGGGAGGAAATCTGCGTGCACACAGTGACGCAAAAGTGTGTGGAATTCAATTGGGTATGCATACCAGGCGATATGTTTGTTTCTGTACTGTATGTATGTGACGTAAACGTGTGTGCGACGTGAGCAGATCTGACCAGAGTTTTGTGTCTTGGGCAGTGTAGACAGAAACGCTACGGTGGAGTGTGTTCAACTTTTCCGCTCTGGAGGGTGGTTTCAGATTTTTGTGTTTTTAAGCCTCAAAAACGCTGTCACCGTCTAAACGAAAGGCACTTCCCATAAATACTTTGACGTTTTTTACCCGCAAACAGGCTCTTATGGGACTTGTTTAGCGCAAATCATCTCACCTGTTGTAGTTCCAGGTACATCACTTTTTTGTGGTCAGATTATGTTAAAATAAAACAGATTAAAGTCAAACAAGGCTCAGACAAAGCAGAGACTACAGTTAGCATCACACCTCCAAGGAATGTTGATTACATCAGATGGAAAGTATCAACAACAAGCCAACACTTGTTATGACTGTACAGATTTATTTATCACATAAATCACATTTCAAGTTTTAAACAGGAAGTCCATGGACTCATTTCTATTGTTAAAACATTTTAGATCAATATTGTGACTAACAATTAGGCCTGTCATGAAAATGACTATATCGATTTATTATTCAGTATATGAAACCTGTCACAATAGATTTTTGTGCATACATTTTCTTCACAATAGTCTGAACACTGGTCTGTCAAAAAGAATGTTTATTTGGAAATAGTGGGGGGATATTTGTTGTAATACAGTAAGATCTGAGCTGTAGAGTTGAATAAATATGATTCTGTGGTTATTGGTTCATTCTATTTGTTTATGATTGTGTTTATTTAAAATGGTTTACTGGGATTATCCTGCTTTATTGTTATTGTGTCAGTGGCATAAAATGGTTTCAATATTATTTGTATCACTATATCTTTCTAATTTATCATGCTTCAACATTATTTTATGACAGGCCTTCAAAGAATGAACAAGATTTGAAATAATAATCTTCATATGTTATAGTTTCATACTGAATAGCAAAACAAAAGCATAATATGCCTTTTTCAAAGGGTATGACAACTGCACTCACTGTATAAACACATATTCAAATTCATTTGTCTTCAGTTTTACGTGACCCTCGTGACTTTGCCTCTTCTCGATACATCAAACCCAGAGCACAAACACAGCCATCATCGTTCTGTTCCTCTGTGACAATGCCTTGATAAAAGCACATTGGACTGCTCCATCTGCCTCAGTACACAGCTAATAGAGCAGTTATCTCAAAATGCACAACGCTTTCTCTTTAATTACGACCCGCTGCGTCTCTGACTGATGGCTGTAATGAAAATGTGTGTGTGTGATGGAGCAAAACAAGAGTGGAAAATACACAAGAGATAAATAAATAAGTAAACATAAAGAGAGCAGACTGAACCTGCATCAGTGCATGCTAACAAACTCCCATTGGGTTTACTGACTAATGTTTGTCCCCATAGTGACGATAAACAAGAACAATAGGGAAGGCAATATGGATTTGTGGATGCTAATGAAGACCATCTGTGGTTTAACAAATTATGTTTTGAAATGTGGAGGTGGAGAGGTATCCATGCTGTACTTCACAGTGACATCATGCCGGGGGTGTTCTAAATGTATCTGTATGATGGAATGTTCAGCAGTTACCATGGAGACACACTGCACACAATAGCAAACACTGTCAAAAAAAGTTTTAAGATGGTCTGAAAACTCAAGAAAAATACAAAATTGCATTAAAATGAAACTTAGATTAGACAGTTAGCATCACACGATCAGGGAATGTTGATGGCATCAGATGAAAAGTATCAACACTAGGATTAGGCATTAGAACTTTTCATTTATTCTGTATTTAGTCCTATTTTAATCATCATCTAGAATGACAAAAAAGAACTACAATGAGAGAAAAGTGATTCCCACTTGGCATCTAAACTTGTCATTGAGGACGAGAACACTTGCGGGTAAAAATGACAAATATTTTATCTGACCTTTCGTTTAGACTGTGATGGAGTTTTGGGGGCTTAAAAACACAAAAATCTGAAATCACCCTCCAGATTGGAAAAGTTGAATACACTCCACCATAACGTTTCAATCTACACTGCCCAACACACAAAACTCTGGTCAGATCTGCTCACGTCGCATACACATTTACATCACATAGCGTCACCACCTAGCTGCAATCAAATTCCACACACTTTTGCGTCACCGTATGCAAGCAGATTTCCTCCCGAAAATCTGTCTAAACGCGAAATAAAAGAAGACACAACGCCACTTTTGCATCTTCTGTTCAGACCGTCATTATATAAACGCAGCCTGAAATAAATAAGTAATTCCACGGTACCAGTTTTCAATACTCCTTTTTATTGTGTATCGTACTGGTAACTTCAAACTTTCATTTTTTGGGCTTACTGATATATATATTTTTTCCAGCTTTGAGGTACTGAATAATAAATAGATAGGCCTATTGTAATTATAATGCCATACCTATATTCTAAAAATGTATTTGTTGTAAAGAACAATAGATTTCCCATTGTATATTTTTCTTCTGTACTTCTGGAATTCTTTGTTGTGTCTCTGCCCTGCTCTCATCCTGCATTATTCATCCAAGGGCAAAGTACATACAATGTTCTGGTAGAGTTTGCATATCTTTGCACAAATGACTTCAAAAGTTGTTTTGAAGCGCATCTATTTTACAGTCAATGCAAACAACTTTCATGCATTGTACTTCATACTGTGTCACATATCTAAGACTGTACTCAGCTAGAGTCCGATCTTTGTTTCGTTCTGATATAGACTTGGTTTAATTCTGTTCTACTCCTGGTTTACTCCTGTTCTAGTCCTTGTTTAGTCCTGTTCTAGCCCTGCTTTAGTACTGTTCTAGTACTGGTTTAGTCCTGTTCTAGTCCTTGTTTAGTCCTGTTCTAGTCCTTGTTTAGTCCTGTTCTATTCCTGGTTTAGGCCTGTTCTAGTCTGTCTAGTCACAGTTCTGATGAATGTTGAATGCACCTATAATGTTTAATCCAAAAATTAATTTAATCTTGGGTTAGGTTTATCTAAGAAGCTTCCTGTAGTTGTTTATTAATGAACTGGTGCTAAATTAGGATTCAAAAAGGAAAGTGGTAACAACATTGAGTAAAGAAAGGCCAGTCACTGTTGTCTACAGCAGAGAAAGAAATGATTACTCTGACCTAGGTAGGTGGCATTTATTACCAAATCATAACTTTTAAAATGACTTAATGAGAACAGTTTGATTTAATTTGTGGTCATATTTTTTATGCACACAAAACCTGCCTTGATGATGCAGAATTATCTCTCTTTGTAAAGAAATACAAAGAGAGATCATTCTGGTCCCCGCTCCCTCTGTGGAGTCTCGAGCCCAGCCCAATGTAATCAAATAATTTTTATTTTTTATTTTATTTTATTTTTTATGTGAAAAGAAGGAGCTCATTGGTCACCCCTCATTTACAAAAACATTTCTCCCACCTTGCTCACTGATTCTGTAGAAATATGCCATGTTTTTCAGTCCCTTGTGTTTGTTTTTTTACCTATTTTTTCCTATACAGGGGACCATTTGTGTCGCTGATTCCACCTGTTAATCACGCCCATTTGAAAACATGGAGATTCAGAAAGTATTGAAAAAGTATGTATTCTGGATCTGGATATTTAAATTAATTTTATTTGTATTGATTTTATTTTTTTTTATTATTTCTTTTTTATTATTTTTTTCAGCTAATATCCCATATTTGAGTTACTGTAGTTAAGTTCATGAATCAGTGGCTACTTTTGAAAATATTATAAAAGAAATCTATTTATTTTACTACACATATATATATATATATATATATATATATATATATATATATATATATATATATATATATATATATATATATATATATATATTTTTTTTTTTTTTTTATGATGATTGTGAAAAACAAGCAATCACCCCTCTAGTTTTATTGCTGTTTTATCTCCATTAGAAATAAGATAAAATCCATGGAGAGAAAACAGACCCGAGGCAGTTATTAGCACAAACATACTGGTCAAACCTAAATATTTTAAATGGTTTCCACACAACATTCAGAGGATTTTAGTTCTAAATTAATAGCCTCAAAGTCAGTTAAACTAAATTATCAATAACTGTATAGAACTGAGGGAAGCTTTTGAGTCACTTTCAGAAACAAGTGGAACCCAGGAAATATTTGTTTGTGTAGGTGAATAATTAGAAAATGAGTCAAATAAAAAGAGACAGATTTCAGAGATTTA